CATTTGCTGATGACGATTCTGTGACTCAATGTAGACCGAAACCCCTCACAACTGGACCGGTAGGTAACATTGTGATAAATGGAGGAAAGGTTGACGTTGTTAAGGATTTTGTCTGGCTTGGATCCACAATCAATACCCATGGAAGCAGCAGTCAAGAGATAAAAAGAAGCTTTTCATTAGGTAAGTCTGCTTGCAGAAGAAAGACCTCTTTCGAGTATTGAAAAGCAAGGATGTTTCTTTGAGGACTGAAATGTGCCTGAGCCACGTAATCATATTTTCCATTGCCTCATATCATATGCCTGCGAAAGGTGGCCCTTGAATAAGACTGAAGACAACCCGATGCCTTTGACTGGTGGTGCTGGAGAAGAGTACTGAAAGTCCCATGACTGCTACCAGGACAAACAGACCTGTCTCGGAAGAAGTCCAGCCAGAGCGCTCCTTGGAGGCCAGGATGGCCAGACTGCGTCTTCCAGACATTGGGCATGTCCTCAGGAGAGACCGGTTCCTGGAGAAGGACATCATGCGTGGTCAAGTGGAGAGTAATGAGGAAGAGGAAGGCCCTCAAATGCGATGGATGGAGACAGTGACTGCAACCATGAGCCCACGCATAGGAACAATTGTGAGCATGGTGCAAAGCAGGGCAGTGTTTTGTTTGACTCCACGTGACTCAATGGCACCTATGATAGGTAGGTTTATTGTGCCAGCCTGGCCAATAGGAACATCTGGGACTAATCAGGTCGCAGTTTGATTGGAAGGGAAAGAGATACATGGCTCGGCAAGGCCCACCCCCATCTCTCGCTCTTGCTCTCGTTCTCGCTCTCTAGTGATAGACCAGCGTGCTGCTGCTTTACCTAGTTCTCCGCCTCAACCTGTATGCTACAACACTGTGGGCCAAGCCAACCTGTGGATGCTGGGTCCTGTTTTGTGTTGCTAGAGCTTGACACTCTTTTGATACTTGCTTTACCACGCTGCTGGTGTGTATATCACTTGAGCTTGAGGCTGGTGGATCCTGTCACCTTGCATTACTTAAATTCGATATCCCATCCAGGCCTGCTTCACTAAGTTTCTGAGTTAATGTTACTGACCCACCTTGTTGCTTGCTGCCAGTAGGCAGACTCTGTTTGCCTTGCCTGAGGAAGGACTCTGCTGTCTTCTTCCTTGACCTTGGACCTGGCATCCCATGTAAGTTGAAGGACTTACAGTATATTAACTGTTCCAATGAAGTGAGTTGAATTGAGCCCTCTGTACTGCTGCGTGGAGTAATTAACTGTTATATTCCTTCTCGCTGTATACACCTATCCTCTTCTATAGCTATAATTACAAGTGTCCTGGTTTTGTTTCTCTAGAGAACCCTGCCTAACACACAGCACCTAACAGCAACAGCAATAGCAGTAACAAGAATTCCTTTTGAGTTTTTCATATATTCCTGATGGAGATTGCAGTTGAATGAATGTTTGAGGGCTGGGCTGATCAAGTTTTAGCAACTTTTTTTTTTTTATCTATTACGGGCTGTTCTTTTTTAGAAAGTGGAAATATTAAGCTGTTGTTCTCTGCTTTGGAGATATAGCCCATTACATTATGGTACAATATCATTAATTGCACACCAATGTGAAAAGGGAAGTTTTGGGGTTTTTTGGTAGGACGTTTCAGATTTACACCAATTCATGAAACCTCAAAGTTTGAAAGCATAGGGGCTATCTAAGTTAACTTCCATGGAAGTAATGAATGCTGTTAACTTGAGCTCATTCTCTCCTCTTCAGATCTCAGCTCTGTCCATTAGTCTATAGCTGCAACGGGCGGCCATGCAGCCCTTTCTGACTCGTGGTGACCCCAGACGCCCAAGGGAACTTGGCCTCATTGCATTTCTGGGATTGTAAATCTTGATGACATGGAGTGGCTGATGCGTGGGAACCAGTAACCTTGCTGTTAGCAGTGCAGCTCATAATCTCCACCACAACTCCTAATTCTTAGACCAGCTGCAGCTAATCACTTAAACTTGCCTCAGTGTCCTCCTTGAATGGGGGGATGAACCCTATCTTCTTAAAAGAACACTGTTAAGAGAATAAAATCAAATATACATACTTATAGGAGTTGCCTGGTACAGCCACTAGAGGGCCTCTGGTGGTGCTGTGGTTAAAATGCTTGTCTGCTAATGAAAGGGTTCAAACTCCCCCGGCTTCCCTGAGGAGGAGGATGGGGCAGTCTGATTCCATAAAAATCCATACTCTTGGGGCAATGAATGTACAAATGTGCTTTACACAATTGATGTATGTATGGCTTGTGACAAGAGTTGTATGAGCCCCTACTAAAATGATTAAACAAAGAAAAAGAAAGCAAATGTTTTGAGAATGATGGTGGCAACAAATATACAAATGCGCTTGACACGATGGATAGATGTATGGATTGTGATAAGAGTTGTACGAGCCTCCAATAAAATGATTTATTAAAAAAAATCCATACTCTTGGAAGCCTGCTCTGCTCTGATCACAGGGTTTCGAAGACTCGGATGGACTTGCAGGCGCTGGGCAACTTAGTCACAGAGGAATGTAATGTTGGCTGCCTTCAGCCTCCTTTCTGGGACAACACATTTCATTTTTGGGCTATTGTTTCCCATCGATACGCCTTCCTCATATTGTTCTGCCTCTGCCTATTTTTCAGTATCTCCCCTTAGTTCTCAGTCTTCAGCGGTCACGCAGCAGAATGTCCTTTCTCGTCCATTGGCAGCCTTGTACTCATGAAAAACAAATTCACCGCCAACAGGTCAATTCCCTATAGGACAGAGTAGAACTGCCCCTGGGACCTGCCAAGACTGTAACGCTAGGGCTGCAGTTCTCAACCTGTGGGTCATGACCCCTTTGGGGGTTGAACGACCCTTTCACAGGGTCGCTTGATTCATAACATTAGGAAGATTACTGTTATGAAGTATCAAAGAAAATAATGTTATGGTGGGTGGGTGTGGGGTCACCACAACATGAGGAACGGTATTAAAGGGCACAGCATGAGAAAGGTTGAGAACCACTGCTCTAAGGGAGTGGAAAGCCATATCTGTCTCCTGGGGAGTGGCAGGTGGTTTTGAGCTGTGGATTTGACGGTTAGCAGCCCAACACATCACCCACTACACCACCCAAGCTCCTGATAGCCTGCAGGTATCTGTTATTTTAGTTAAAGGAACTAGATATTGGGAAGAAAAAAATTTTTTTTCTTTTTAGAAGTGGGATTCTGGGGGTTCTGTTAGACTTCTATGTGACTCTCAAGATTTACCAGGTGAATGGACAAAAGATGGGTTTCCATTTTTTTAACATCCAGTATTGTTTCAAGATTGAATGAGTGCTTGGGAAGGATAGTTTTATCTAACACTGGTGGGTTTAAGTGACAGGCTGCTAGGATTCTGTAGGATTCAAACTTGGACAAAGTGTGCATGAGCAAGTGTGGTTAGACACTTGAATGACTTGAAGTGTTGGCCCCACATTGTTGTCAGATGCCCTCCTAGGGACCCCTGAAGACAACAGAACAAAACATTGCTTGCACCGTCTGAGCCCATGGTGGCCGCCACTGGGCATCTCACTAAGAGTGATCCTCATCTCGGGGAGGAGAGGAACTAGTCAGGGTGTGATGTAGTAACGATGAAAAATACAACTTTCCTCTAGTTCCTAAATGCTTCCTTCCCCCAACTATCATGATCCCAATTCTACCTTGCAAGTCTGGCTAGACCAGAGGATGTACACTGGTACAGATAGCAACTGGAAACACAGGGAATCCAGGGCGGATGATCCCTTCAGGACCAGTGGTGTGAGTGGCGATACTGGGAGGGTAGAGGGAGAGTGGGTTGGAAAGGGGGAACCGATTACAAGGATCTACGTGTGACCTCCTCCCTGGGGGATGGACAACAGAAAAGTGGGTGAAGGGAGATGTCGGACAGGGAAAGATATGACAAAATAATAATTTATAAATTATCAAGGGTTCATGAGGGAGAGGGGAGCAGGGAGGGAGGGGAAAAATGAAGAGCTGATGGCAAGGGCTTAAGTGGAGAGCAAATGCTTTGAGAATGATGAGGGCAATGAATGTACAAACGTGCTTTACACAATTGATGCATGTATGGATTGTGATAAGAGTTGTATGAGCCCCTAATAAAATGATTTTTTTTTAAAAGAAAAAAAAAAAAAAGATTGAGCCTCTTTTTAACTGACCCTCTCAATGACCAAGCCCCGGTCCTTGTCCAGGGACTGATTCCTCCTGGTAACATGTCCAAAGCACGTGATGTGAAGTCTCTCCATCCTCGATTCTAAGGTGCTTTCTTCCTGAACTCCTTTCAAGGCAGCTTTGTTTGTTCTCTTGACGGCTCATGGTATATTCAATATTCTTCACCAACATCATAATTCAAAGACACCAAGTCTTCTTTGGCCTCTCTTATGTATTGTCCAACGTTCCCCTGAGTATGAGCTGATTAAAAATGTCATAGCTTGGATCGGGTGTACCTTCGTCTTCAAAGCGGCATCTTTGCTTTTTAACATTTAAGGAGGGCTTTTTTGCAGAAGATTTGCCCAATGTCATATGTCGTTTGATTGCTGCTTCCTTGCTCCATAGCGATCGCTTGTGTATTCCACTGATGAGTAGTTAATTGTGAAAACTGCAAATAAAGCTTTCATTGAACACAGACACGCCTTCAAAAAAGTCCTTTTACAGGACGAGCGCGGGGAGTCTACGGTAGGCGGGGACCAGGATTGGGCGTCAAATGTCATTAGGCATTGCCGCTTCTCCGCCCGAGTCGGTCGCTAGGCGGCGCTAAGGAGCTTGCTGCCCACCCACGGTGCGAAGCACCCCCAGCTCTCACCCTGCTCGCCTCCCGCTCCTGTCTCCTGGAGGACGGACTACAACTCCCATGGTGCTCCGGGAAAGGAGGCGGGGAGTGCGCACGGCGGGGAGGCACACGGGGGCGGGCTTTCCGGGTGTGTGCTTCCGGCGTCGGCGGCCGCGGCCGGGGACGGTGTGAGAGCGGTAAGATGGCGGCGGCGGCGGTGGTGGAGTTCCAGAGAGCCCAGTCTCTACTCAGCACCGACCGGGAGGCCTCCATCGACATCCTCCACTCCATCGGTAA